TCTCTCTCTCTCTCTCTCTCTCTCTCTCTCTCTCTCTCTCTCTCATGCAACATATCAGAGACCAGATATAGATGATGCCTAGATTGACTTACTTTGGTTCAAGGGTTCTAAAACAGACCCTGTCCCCTTGCTCTCGCATGCTTGTAGTGACCGTCATTGTAAATTAGGTCAATATGTTGGGTCAAGTGCAAATGTTTAGAACGACTCAGCTTTGTGGAGGGCTTACTTCGAAGCACATGGACACCATAACAGTCATTTAGAGCAGGGGCAAAGTAAAACAGACAGACTATAGAAACAGCAGATGGGAAGGAAAAGGCGTGTGACCTACCAGTGGCGCCCTCCAACAACCAACACACTTAATATCGGAATCTTCAGTTTCACTATATTATTATCTGTAGGAAAAAAATCTATGTCAATCACAATCGCTGGCAGAGGTAAAGACGAGGAACTTATGAGTTATTCGCACGCCAAGCTAACTCATCCAACTTCGAGGGGAAAAGCTTTGGCAAAAAGGAGCCCAAAAAATCGATGAAAGACAGCGAGAAACGAGGTTGATCAATAAGTCGTTCGTCAGACTTGATTTGTAATGAATTAGGAAAGCCCTGAATTACATCTCTGTTTGCATTGCTATCCAAAATGGCACAAGCGTGAAGTGAAAACTTCAAAGATAAAGTCAACGTTTACAATATAAGAGTTGATAATATACTTGCCAAGTACATGTAATGCATAAGTTGATATGTATGTCAAGCAATGTAGAAATGTCACGAGACAGTTAACTTTTATTTGCGTAGATCTATCTGCGAGTGTCTGAAGCTACAGCTGTCACGGAAATAGTTATATAAAGTGGAGTACACAAGGTAGACTACTCTCTTTGTTCAGAGCGTAGGTTTCAAAGCTAAATAGGTCGCTGAGGTCTATCATATCTATCTCTGCCATCACCACCGCACTTCCCCAACCCACCCCCACACATTTCTCTCTCTCTTTCTCTTTCTCTTTCTCTCTCTCTCTCTCTCTCTCTCTCTCTCTCTTTGTCTGTCTGTCTGTCTCTTTCTCTCTCTCTCTCTCTC